GGCGGCAGGGTAGCGGCATCCAAAGCTGCGTCCCGACTGCGTGTGTGTGCCTGCTGAGCGCATGTGGTGTGCCCGACCCCTGCTTCATATAAGGAGCAAGGTCCGCATTCTCCGCGCTTTGGGGTTTGGAGAAGCGCACAGATGCCCAGATGGACGGGCTTTCCCCGCAACGGTCACGGTGGGATGGCGACCCGTCTCCAAAACTCTTCTAGAAAATGCCTTTGATATGACTCGTCGAGCGCCGATGACCGCGGGTTTGGATGCTTCGCTGACCAAAAGGACGGCCAGAAAACCACGCTCGCAAGCGCGCCCCCCCCATCGGCCCATGCATCCATGTCACTACACGTTTGCGTGGAGCCGAGCTGCCCCAAATTAAAGTGCTTGTTCGGGCTTGGTCTTTGGTCTAACGCACTTCACGATGGAGAACCCGACGTTTTCCCAAACTCAACTCGTAGAAACGCAGCGCGCCGCCGGCCGGTGGGTCCAGGTCGGACCGTTTCGGGACTAAGTCGACGGGGCCAGCCCGCGCGTGCAACTGCCGCTCGGCCATCTTCCGTGAGGCGACTGGCACGCCGCCCGAGGACTTGCTGCACTTTTGCGCCCGCGGAGCCTTCGCAATCGAGTCATAGGCCCCGGTCTGCTCCGGTTATTGTTACATGGGAGATGCGAGCCCGACAGGAGGAACCTGACGATTCCTGACGACAAGGTCTGGCCCATCGGGCCTCGACCGATGGTTCGCTGCTCGGTTCAACGCCATCAGGCCCGTTTCTTCCCCTCATTGACCCCGGCGCAAAGAGATGGACTTGATCCCGTGCTAGATGGGCCCCCCGTAGTATAAGCTCGCTATCCATCTTGGCCAACCAGAACAATGCTTACTACGCTGTAAGACGCTGCTGATTCGTGAGCTCGACAAGATCCATCTCGCCCGGTTTCTCAACTCGGGCTGCCCTGACCACAGCCACCCCCAGGTCCCCTAGCGAAACGAATGGCCCTTCCACCCCAAAGTCCCCACGGAGAAAGCTTCCTTCAACGGAGACCGTATGGGGAAAACTGGAGAGGGATATCTAAGCGCTCAACTTGCAGCTCGCGCTGCTGGTGGTGCTTCCCACACACCCACTGGCACACACTTGGTCGAAAATGGCAAGACTTGATTAACCCTCAACAATACGAAATCTCTTACAAACGCCAACAGAATCCACTCGTCACATGGCGGAGATAAGTGGAGGATGTCTTCCCCGTCACACTAAATCGCAGATTCCCCGAGCAGCCTCAGTCTCCCAGCCACTCAGGACCAGGTCGTAATTACGACTTTGTGGGGATCTGTGACTTGTAACCTTGGACTCGTACGATGTACAGTACGCGGCAGCAACATTGCCATAGTCTTACAGAATGTGTTGGTCAAATCCTTTACTTGATGATGGTTGAGCTCGTCTCGTCACACCCACCGGCCTCGGGGTTCAGAACAACATGCGAACCCGAATGATCGACGATTCCAAATCCTGGTTTTTTTTTTTTTTTTGCACGCTCGCTTCCGGAAATTGCTGCAATACTACGATTCATCTCACGTAACAACGCTCCTTGGCATGGCATTCTTCTGAATAGGTATTTACCAGGGAGATCCCGAACTGTTCACTTACTCATCCGCCGCCAAACGTCCCCTCCACATGCCCTCAGTGCACTTCTCGTAATGGCTCCCGCCAAACGCGATAACCCACTCCGCTGCGAAGGCGTCGTCAAAGACCTTGAGCAGCATCATCTGTTCCGGGTCCTCGTCGGCGCCGCAGACCTCGCACGGCGCGTTGACGGTGCCCTGGTCTTGAGAGGAAAGCGTGGCGATGTTCTTGCACGAGCCGAAGAAGCACACGCACTGCTCGTCGATGAGCGCGCACACCTGGCGTCGCGTCACGACGACGTGCGTGCCCCTGCACCCGCTCCGCGGGGTGCCCTCTGCCGCGGCGGTGCAATTTGCGGAGGCAATCCACTGGATGCACATGATTCACTTTGGCGTCCTGGGATGCTGTTTGGTGAGTTTTTAAGATTAGACTTTGGTTGTTCTGCTAAATTGTCGCTTGATGCGTTGTGGACTTCCAGCAACCAGGACACGCCGGTCACTATGCGTCACTTAAATATCGATGGCAATGAAGACTCATCTCTTGTGACTGGAAACGCCCTCGCTGTAAGACGTGCAGAATCAAAGCCTTTGTCACGACAATGAACGCCGGCCATACGCAATGTTCCTCTGCACCGTCGACTTTCATGCGCCTTGGTTCGGAAACACGTGCTCAAGTTCCTTTTTGTTTCAGTGTCCAAGAACAATCAAGCCACAAATGAACAGCAACTCGCTATGCCAGCCATCTTGTTCTCATTGTTTTAACCTTGTATTGTTCGTGTCTCCACGTCTCATTGGGCGGACCCGACGTTCGCACCAAGGCGCCAAGACATCTTGGCAACCGTCGTTCCAAGCCACTTGGCATCGCCAAGGGGGCTCCAGCCAGAGCCTCAACTCCCCCAACCCTCATCAATATATCGCCAGTGTCCAATTCTTCCGGAATCTCAATACCCGACAGGATGCGGCGGCGGCATCCTCCCGCAACCTAAACCGAACATGCGATGAACCACTGGCAACCCTGGCCGCCTGTCGCCTCGGTGCCGTGTAGCCGTCCCAGACGTCCAACCCGCGCCGGGGGAATCCTCCTCCACGAGGAAATTTCTCCGGGCGTATTAGTCCATCTTTCCCCCCAGAACCCCAGACGAGGCTGGCATTGGGTATCCCTTTGGACGGGGGTCAGACAGCCAACTCGCTGGCTCCCATCCGAATCAGGAACACAACCCTGGCCAGTCGTATGTAGCACCGCAGCATGTGACTTGTGAACGCAAGCAGCTCACGCACCGCCGCCTCCAACTTTCCCCAACTCCCCCAAAAGACCCCTTGCCCTCACCGTCCTCTCATCGTCGTACCCCGCAAACTGTATCATTTTCTCCACCGCCATCTTCGCATACCTCCTGCCCGTCTCGGCCTCGCCCATGTGCGCGTACACCCGCGCGACTATGCCGTAAAACTCGCCCGCTTGCGCCGCGAGACCCTCCCGCTCCACGACGTCGTCCAGCTCGCCGGCTAGCTCCGCCACCAGGGATGGCGTCATGAACGCCGGGTCCGTCATCTCGGCGAGGATTTCTTGCAGGCGCGTGCGGTACGTGTCCGAGACGGCCACGTCGTCGGGAGAACTGCAAAGCGCACACGTACAGTTGAAGCCCCATTCCTGGAGGGTCTGCTTGCGATCTTCGGAGAGCATGTTTAGCATCGAATCTGTTTCTGCGTTAGATGGGTTGGAGAGCCAGGGCTGAGGGTTCGAGGGTTCTGACAGCTGATGCTTAGTTCTTCACCGGGCTGGATATCCTTATAGGCCACGACTTCCAGTTCCAGTGTCCGGGGAGAAAACCGGGTGATTGCGCTAGAACCAGGTCAGCAGACGTCTCCTGTGTGGCGCAACTCTTCTGGACCTACTTTGGCTTGCACGCGTGGTTGATTCTCTGCCGGCTGTCAGTGAACCTTTAGCTTACGCTCGCAACAGATGTCTTACCGCAACTCTCGGGAAAAGCCCAAAATGCCCGACACTGTTAAAGGTCGCGCCGAAAGTGTTGGTTCGGATGATGTCTTCGAGCACATGCCCGCCGGTGCTTCTGGAGAGATCAAAGACTCTCCGCTGATCCTCTATCGGCAGCCGAATGAAGCCTTCCTCCAGGACCCAGAGGGCCTGCATCCGATCAACCGGCTCGGAAATCTGCGCCAGCTGTAAAAGCACCGGATACTCCCTCAGAATGACGTCCCCCGCGCGAATCGCTGCTTTTGCCACCGCCCCCAAGCCCTTTCCCGGTATCTCCTTGACCTCGAAGGGCGCCACGTCGAAGGGGGTGGCCCCTCGTTCGGAGTTGAGCCACTGCGGATTGAAGTCTTGGACAATACTATAGTCGCCGGCCGCGATCTCTGGGCTTGTGATGACGAGGAGGCCCGCCTCTCCGCGGAAGTCCTCCTTGACGAAGGCGCAATAATCCGGACCCGTCTTGGTTTTCGGGCTGACGCATACAGGCTGTTGTGTCCAAGGACTCCAATCAGAGGTGCCGGATGCCGTCTGCGGATTGTGTGCCACGCGGCAACTTTCAAGGAGGTTGAGCGGTCCGGAAGGGTTCCAAGGACATTGGTTGCCTGCATTGCTGCTCTTGAGAGCTGTGGAGGGTGCGACGAGCACCGCCACGAGCAATGCCAAGTAATCGAACGTAGACGAAGCAAGCAGGCCCATCGTAGCAATTCGGGCGGTCCAAATATTAGAAACACAACAGACCGTGGTTTCCAGGTTTCCCTGCTTCTCGGGGCTGGGCGGTTTTATTGCGCACCAATACATCACCCGCCGAAAAGAACACGCTACACCCTCGTCCGTATTCCATAACGGTGTGGTTGCCGCCGTCCCCCTACATCAGAATAAGCATCGGATTTAGCCTCAGCCCGTAATATCGAGACCCCAAACCCCCATGCGGCGATCGTTCCTCGGCGCAGAATCTTGCTAGTCTGAGAGGGGTTCCCGCCCTCTAGGGCCGGAGCATCGCAGGCCGCAATGCCAAGTCCGCCAAGATGCTTGGTTTTTTGGAGAAGCTGGCTTGGTGAAGAAACAAAAACATGGCAACTCCAGGGCCGCCCCGAGTCAAGAGGGGAACCTTGTAGTCCAGGTTACTTGGCGAAGCCTCTTCTGGGCAGCATGCTGGGCTTACGCTTCTGTTGATGGGTGGATTTAGACGCCTGGGCAACTTGCCTCACATAGGAAGCATCGCGATGCTTGGCATAAACGTATCACAGACTGGCTAATACCAGACGAGTAAACGCCTGTTCAAAGCCAAAGCTTTGCCTGAGTTTCGAGTAAGGAAATGAGCAAAAAGAGAGGATTGCTAGTTCAATCGCTGACGGGAATTGAGCCCGACGTGGCTGGTGTATGTTAGTAATTGTGCGATGCGAATCGGGAGTGAGGCAAATGATGCTTACGGGTCGAACCCACAACCTTGAGATTAAGAGTCTCACGCTCTACCGATTGAGCTAGCCGGGCAGGCTTGTTGAATGTGGTTGAAAATTTACGTGCAGGCGCAAAGTCAAGGAGTGGCAGATTGTGTGCGGACGAGGGCACGACACGGACGTGTCCACATTCAACACCAAGGGGGGCCCATCGTGAAGAAGCCGGGTCCCCTTTTCGCGGATGAGCCGGCATCGGCGATTGCGGTCATAGAGGCACAAGGGATGGGGAGCTATGCCGGTGGGATCGGTGGAATCCATCCCAACGTTTGAGCCCGACAGTGGGCGAATCCCGCACCTCCGGCGTGGTCTTGATGTTTCGCGGAGGGGGGACCGGAACGGAGCAAGACCGCCCGACACCCCGTCGATGTACAAAGGCAACTTCAAACCCTTCACCGCGCAGGTATACGGTCGCGAAAACATGTTTCGTCATTGTTAAGCATCCTGGTCTCGTCCTGGAAGAGCCGATCGGCTACACGCATCCGTCTAATCTAGGCCACCGTGAATATACGCAGGTTCTCAGATGCACCTCGACAGCGATCCACGCAAACACCCCAGATCACGATCCACGCGGCCGGCCGCATTACCCGGCCGTCTACTCGTCGATCCTTTCCCGCACCAGAGCCCAGCACTTGCGCATCCCGGTCCCCATCGACTCCTCGTCCACCTCCACCGCCGTAGCCCACCGATGCCTCGAATGCGACGACACGTACTCCCCCGCCCCCTCCACCTCGAAGAGGTGGACATGCATCGTCAGCTTCAGGTGCGAGAACAGCCATGGCACGCTGCCGAGATCTCCGGCATGCCGCACCCTGGGAGTCGTTTTCGGCTTCTCGCCGCCGTCGCCGAGCAGACCCGACATGTACCCCTGCGCGTCCCTCTTCCTGGACGACGCGGTGTTGCTCGTCGCCGCTGGCAGCGTGTGACTGGGCAACTCCCACATCCCGGCGAGAAGCCCCTTGTCCGGGCGACGGTGAATTAGGAAACGCCCGTCGGCGCGGCGGACGGCGCAGACCAGGGCTTCTTCCTCGCGGACTGCTTTCTTGGCCGCCTTCAGCGGAAACCTTTTGGCGTGGTCTGCGATGGTCTCTAGCGTTTTCGCGTCGACCGCTGGCCGTTTCGGGGAGGGGGGCTCTTCCTTCTTGGCCGTCTTGGAGGAGAAGAAGGCGGACAGAGTGGCCTGCTTCGCCACTGGTCGAGATTTCGTCCCCTTCTTGGCTCCCTTGGCCGGCTTTGGCGCGTCGGCATCAGAGTCGTCCCCCGAGGCCGCTGCCTCCTCTGCCGCCTCCTCGAAGGGTTCGCATATCGAACACAAGTCCTCAATGTCCTCCACCTTGGCCGCCTTCTTCGGTTTTGCGGCCGCCACCAAGCCCTCTGCGTAGGCCCGACACGTCGACGTGACGGGACACTCGCCGCAGTTCGGCTTTGGCGTACAGAGGGTGCTCCCGAGTTCCATCAAAGCCTGTCCCCATCGCCCGGGCCGATCGCTCGTCGGCGCCTCCTCGCCCTCGGCGCCTTGATTATCAGGGCCATCCTGTGCAACGGCTTTTACAAGCGCATCCGCGGCAGCCCAGAGCAAGTCAATGACGGCCTTGTCCGTCTTCGCGTTTCCGAACACACCCAGTTGTCGGCTCAGCACCCGGAGCACGTTCCCATCAACCATTGGCGCTGCCCTCCCAAACACGATCGCCGAAATGGCACCGGCCGTGTACCGCCCAACACCCGGGACCTTGGCCTCGAGCTCCGCCGTGTCGTCCGGCATCAGGCCCTTCCACGTCGGGTCCTTGACCACCAGCTTCGCGGCCTCATGAATCCTCGTCGCGCGGCTGTAGTACCCCAGCCCGCGCCACGCGCTCAGCACGTCCTCGGGCTCCGCTGCGGCGAGGTCCTGGATCGTCGGCCACCGCGCCATCCACCGGTTCCAGTAATCAATGACCACCGCGACGCGCGTCTGCTGCAGCATGATCTCGCTGATCCAGACCTCGTAAGCGCGCTTCTCGAGGGCGGTGCGGAGGCCTGCGGCGTCAGGGGGGTCTCGCGGGTCAATCCAGGCTTTGCGCCACGGCATGCCGCGCGTGGTGCTGGTGGAGTCGAACCAGGCGAGAAGAGCGTCTCGTCCGTCGCGTCCGGGCCGGCCATCTAGGAGCAGAGGACGGTGATACGTGGCGGCGTGTGTTCTCGACGGAGGCGAGCAGGGTTCCCGCGTGGCCTGTCCAGATGGGCCGAAGAGGCTTGCGTGGAGCTTGGCAGTGTCTGCCTTTCGTGTCTTTTCCACTTTGCGCCGCTTGGGCTGCGGTTCTGCGGTTTCGTTCACTTCATCGTCGTCGACGAGAGGGGTGAAGTCGGCTTCGAACGCGTCTTCCCGCGCCGGTGGGGGTGGTGCTTTGGCGGCGGCTTTGCGAGTTCTTGAGATTGGTTTCAACGGCTCATTATCCGGCTCGTCGTCGGCCTGAGCCAGGATTCTTTTGGCCGCAGCAAGTGAGCTTTGTCGGCGGGCAATGCTGCGTTGGATCATGGCGATTGCTGTAAGACGCGACGGGGGACGCGTCTCGGGGTGAAGGTGACGTCTGGGCCGAATCTGCGTTGACGGGCTCAACTGTCGGGACGCTTATGGCGGGTGATGGTCGGAATTTAGCGCCGATTCTGGTGTAAGGTCCCTGAAATTGCGATCGCATCAGGGGCTCAGGGTCCCTGGCGTTGGGCACAGGCCACTGTAATAATGCGTAGGGCCTGACCGGTCGAAGAAGAAAAAAGCAGCAAACATGTTTCCGTTCCACCTTGACTTTCTATCAATCAATCAGCTTTGTGAGACAAATAACCATGCTCTTCTCACTTAGTTTGTTTATCATGTATGTTCTGGGATCCCCAAGCGTGTTGACACAAGAACATTATGCACTGTAGAAAGAAAACCGGCAAAAACATCGGAACGAAGCTTTCATCCCAGCCCACACCAAAAGAACAGGTCCTACCAGGATTCGAACCTGGGCCTACGGAAGATTCTGAGTATCATCAGAATCCGACATCCTAACCAACTAGACTATAGGACCATTGAACAACTGGGGTTGTTGACGAGATTGTCGATTTCGCTGTTCATCCAGTCTGCGCAAGCGATGCTGCAAACGACAGGAGGCCATTGCAGAGAAAAGAAGATAGAATAAGCTCTATGGTATTTAGATTCGCACATGCAGGCTTCTAGAAGCTGTCACCGAGGCGCTAGGTGTCTCGGTTGATGTGTCGTAAACTCTAACCGAAGTGCATCGCTACACACAAGACCCCCAACTTACTCGGACCAGCCGTCGCCGGCGCACGTCATCCAGTTGACGCCGACCAGCTTCAGTCCATGCTTCTCAGCAAACTCGGCAGGCTTCCATGACCGCCTCTGAACAAACTCCTCCCCGCCAACATCCTCCTTCTTGAGATCCAGACCCTCGGGCTCCCGGTAGAGCAGGAAGAGGTAGCGGTGCGGCTTGGAGCTAGGGGAGGCAGTCAAAGTCAGCGTCTCATCGAATCACGCCTATCGTTGGCCCAGAGCAACTCAATGGGGGGTATAGGACAAACTCACTCATCCTTGGGCCCGGGTCCGAGAAACTCCGTCAGCGCCGGCTTCGTCTGCGCGACCACGGCGCCCCCGCTGAGGGGCTGCAGCCCGGGGAGAACCCAGTGGCGCCAGAAGGCGAACTGCGGGTTGTCGGGCGTGGGCGCGTCCGGGTCCGTCAGGAAGAGCGTGTAGGATGCGCTCGACGACGCGTCGGCCTCGGCGGCGAACGAGATGCTCGGCGCGACCTTGCACTCGCCCGCGCGGAAGAAGTTGCCGGCGTCGACGGCCTTGCCCGCGAACGACACCTCGAGCTTCGTCGTCGGCTTGAAGCCCTCGGGGATGAGGGCCGCCGCCGAGCCGGGCACGAGCTTGGCTTGCTCGAGCGAGCTGGTGAGCTTTTGGGTATGGTCGGAGAGCGACATTGTGCGAGGAATTGCTGTGAGGGATGAGGGAATCGGCCCAGGTGAAGAATGTCGAGGAAGGACTTCCGTCGCGTTGAAGAATGATTTGTACGATCGCGTGCGGGCGGTTTTAACCCGAAGATGGAATGCTCGATGACCTACGCGGGGTTAGGCATGGCATGAGGGGGGATTGATGCCAGTGGTGGAAAATTGCCAGCTTTGCTGCACCAAGGGTCTTGGCAGATATAAGGGTGCTCGTCCGGACAAAAGCTGATCTACCGAGGATAAGAACAAGTGTCACTGAGGCAACAATGCCACAGTTTTGCCAAGCAGAGACTGGAATATCCCATTGTCAAGTGCGAGGCAACAAACATGCAAGGCTCCAATGATGGGATCATCATGACATTAGGGCTGATGATCTGCTACAGTGAAGCCGGAGGTCAGATAACCCATGCTTTACTTCAGTCGAATTAGGGAAACCGAGGCCATTCCAGCCACCGATGAAGTACACAAAGACAAATTCCACTAGCTCACTCTCTCATACTATGGCTGTTTTATCGTTGACGAAGAAAGTAAAAGGTTTTATAGACCATGCGCCCATCGACACGGACTGACATGTTCTAGTAGTAGACCCGTGTACGACATCGGTATGGGAACCTCCTCCAACTCTCTAGCTCAAAGGCGCTTTGCTCTAGATTGCCAAACTGCGCTGACTACATTTGGCAACGGTGTCTTGACTTGACCTCGACGCCCTTCTAGATACTTGATACTCTCAAGTTAAGTGGGACTGGCACATACTTGTGTGAACGACTGCGTTGTCTCCGTCACCCTATCAGATGACCAATCGCAGCCCATACATACTGCGAGTGGGTTGTAATTGTTGGGACAAGAAGTCGGCGACGCGTGAAACTGGTATCTTGATTGCCCGTTGTTTACGGGGATTCACAACGACTTTGAGATGGAGCTTCCCACGCTACGATCCATGTTCTATCTGTGTGACCATGTGTTGAATTCAGGGTCTCAACAATCAATGCATTTTGCTGCATTAACGCCACCATAGTCGTTGCAACAAAAGAAGTTGATGAGCTTGACAAATTT